CATCTCCTGCTCTCTGATTGGTTGGAGCGAGGATGTCTATCTCCTGCTCTCTGATTGGTTGGAGCGAGGATGTCTATCTCTTTCTGCTGCGCTGCAACAAGGAGTCTGCTGCGGCATAAACGTGCTGCGACATACAACACAACACAACACAACACTACACAACACAACTTATTCTTGTATTTCCCTAAATCACAGCAGCATCATCTCAGAGACTGAACAAAACCACTGAAATCACAGATCAGAGAATCAACAGTTAACACACAGAAAGAATATAGAACACATGTGATAAATGTCATACATGTGATAAATGTCATACATGTTGATAAATGTCATACATGTTGATAAATGTCATACATGTTGATAAATGTCATACATGTGATAAATGTCATACATGTGATAAATGTCATACATGTTGATAAATGTCATACATGTGATAAATGTCATACATGTTGATAAATGTCATACATGTTGATAAATGTCATACATGTTGATAAATGTCACACATGTGATAAATGTCATACATGTGATAAATGTCACACATGTGATAAATGTCATACATGTGATAAATGTCATACATGTTATAAATGTCATACATGTATATAAATGTCATACATGTTATAAATGTCATACATGTAATAATTGTCACACATGTGATAAATGTCATACATGTGATAAATGTCATACATGTTGATAAATGTCATACATGTGATAAATGTCATACATGTTGATAAATGTTATACATGTGATAAATGTCACACATGTTATAAATGTCATACATGTGATAATTGTCACACATGTTAATAAATGTCATACATGTGATAATTGTCACACATGTTAATAAATGTCATACATGTGATAAATGTCACACATGTTGATAAATGTCACACATGTTGATAAATGTCATACAAGGAAGAGAGGAACGTGTGGACCTCTTCCACCGACCAGGACCAGGACTTTTGGGGCTTTCTGTGCGATTCCATTTCTCTGGAGTGAGGAGGACGTAATGTAGCCGAAGCAGAGCCAAGCAGAGCAGCCGCTTTTAAAGATGGCGGTTGAGTTGTTTTTCCCAAAGGGTCAGAGGTCGCTTCCAGTGACGAAACTCGTTGACCAATCAGTGTAAGGCAGTGGGCCGACGTCACGTCATGGCACGGGTACTATGGGGATGGAACCACGGCTGAGGCAGTACGGAAAAGTACTCAAATCTCCCATTCCATCCACTAGTGGAAACGGAAAATAACCGTGCTGAAGCGTACTGTACTGTACCGTACTGATACTGTAGAAAAGCGGCATTACAGACCCTCCTGCATCAGAGGAACAACTCATAAGAAAACCCAGTGGGAAAAAGTGAGAAACCTCGGGGAGACCCATGGTTTGAGAAAGGGATCCTCTCCCACGGACGGACGTGCTGTAGACCCAGGACTCAGACTGTAGAACGAGGACTGAGGCTGTAGATCCAGGAGTCAGACTGTAGAACGAGGACTGAGGCTGTAGACCCAGGAGTCAGACTGTAGAACGAGGACTGAGGCTGTAGACCCAGGACTCAGACTGTAGAACGAGGACTGAGGCTGTAGACCCAGGACTCAGACTGTAGAACGAGGACTGAGGCTGTAGATCCAGGACTCAGACTGTAGAACGAGGACTCAGGCTGTTGAACGAGGACTGAGGCTGTAGATCCAGGACTCAGACTGTAGAACGAGGACTGAGGCTGTAGACCCAGGAGTCAGACTGTAGAACGAGGACTCAGGCTGTAGACCCAGGACTGAGGCTGTAGACCCAGGACTCAGACTGTAGAACGAGGACTGAGGCTGTAGACCCAGGACTCAGACTGTAGAACGAGGACTGAGGCTGTAGACCCAGGACTCAGACTGTAGAACGAGGACTGAGGCTGTAGACCCAGGACTCAGACTGTAGAACGAGGACTGAGGCTGTAGACCCAGGACTCAGACTGTAGAACGAGGACTGAGGCTGTAGACCCAGGACTCAGACTGTAGAACGAGGACTGAGGCTGTAGACCCAGGACTCAGACTGTAGAACGAGGACTGAGGCTGTAGACCCAGGACTCAGACTGTAGAACGAGGACTGAGGCTGTAGATCCAGGATCTAAGCTACAGAACGTGGACCAGCAGCCATATATGTAGTTTTTCACATGAACGTCACTCAATAAGAAGGTCCTGGGTTCGAATCCTGGACAGAACAGGGTCTTTCTGAGTGGAGTTTGAATGTTCTCCCAGTGTCTGTGTAGGTTTCCTCCGGGTGCTCCGGTTTCCCCTACCTCTAAAAACATGTACAATAGGTCTGGCAGCGCTCCCTGTAGGCGACTCCTATCCCAAACGACTTACTATGATCAGTGAAAGTCACCGCAGCAGGATCCAGTCTGAGCTAGATCCTTCTGCTGAGGTCACAGGGTCCAGTCTGAGCTAGATCCTTCTGCTGAGATCACAGGGTCCAGTCTGAGCTAGATCCTTCTGCTGAGGTCACAGGGTCCAGTCTGAGCTAGATCCTTCTGCTGAGGTCACAGGGTCCAGTCTGAGCTAGATCCTTCTGCTGAGGTCACAGGGTCCAGTCTGAGCTAGATCCTTCTGCTGAGGTCACAGGGTCCAGTCTGAGCTAGATCCTTCTGCTGAGGTCACAGGGTCCAGTCTGAGCTAGATCCTTCTGCTGAGGTCACAGGGTCCAGTCTGAGCTAGATCCTTCTGCTGAGGTCACAGGGTCCAGTCTGAGCTAGATCCTTCTGCTGAGGTCACAGGGTCCAGTCTGAGCTAGATCCTTCTGCTGAGGTCACAGGGTCCAGTCTGAGCTAGATCCTTCTGCTGAGGTCACAGGGTCCAGTCTGAGCTAGATCCTTCTGCTGAGGTCACAGGGTCCAGTCTGAGCTAGATCCTTCTGCTGAGGTCACAGGGTCCAGTCTGAGCTAGATCCTTCTGCTGAGGTCACAGGGTCCAGTCTGAGCTAGATCCTTCTGCTGAGGTCACAGGGTCCAGTCTGAGCTAGATCCTTCTGCTGAGGTCACAGGGTCCAGTCTGAGCTAGATCCTTCTGCTGAGGTCACAGGGTCCAGTCTGAGCTAGATCCTTCTGCTGAGGTCACAGGGTCCAGTCTGAGCTAGATCCTTCTGCTGAGGTCACAGGGTCCAGTCTGAGCTAGATCCTTCTGCTGAGGTCACAGGGTCCAGTCTGAGCTAGATCCTTCTGCTGAGGTCACAGGGTCCAGTCTGAGCTAGATCCTTCTGCTGAGGTCACAGGGTCCAGTCTGAGCTAGATCCTTCTGCTGAGATCACAGGGTCCAGTCTGAGCTAGATCCTTCTGCTGAGGTCACAGGGTCCAGTCTGAGCTAGATCCTTCTGCTGAGGTCACAGGGTCCAGTCTGAGCTAGATCCTTCTGCTGAGGTCACAGGGTCCAGTCTGAGCTAGATCCTTCTGCTGAGGTCACAGGGTCCAGTCTGAGCTAGATCCTTCTGCTGAGGTCACAGGGTCCAGTCTGAGCTAGATCCTTCTGCTGAGGTCACAGGGTCCAGTCTGAGCTAGATCCTTCTGCTGAGGTCACAGGGTCCAGTCTGAGCTAGATCCTTCTGCTGAGGTCACAGGGTCCAGTCTGAGCTAGATCCTTCTGCTGAGGTCACAGGGTCCAGTCTGAGCTAGATCCTTCTGCTGAGGTCACAGGGTCCAGTCTGAGCTAGATCCTTCTGCTGAGGTCACAGGGTCCAGTCTGAGCTAGATCCTTCTGCTGAGGTCACAGGGTCCAGTCTGAGCTAGATCCTTCTGCTGAGGTCACAGGGTCCAGTCTGAGCTAGATCCTTCTGCTGAGGTCACAGGGTCCAGTCTGAGCTAGATCCTTCTGCTGAGGTCACAGGGTCCAGTCTGAGCTAGATCCTTCTGCTGAGGTCACAGGGTCCAGTCTGAGCTAGATCCTTCTGCTGAGGTCACAGGGTCCAGTCTGAGCTAGATCCTTCTGCTGAGGTCACAGGGTCCAGTCTGAGCTAGATCCTTCTGCTGAGGTCACAGGGTCCAGTCTGAGCTAGATCCTTCTGCTGAGGTCACAGGGTCCAGTCTGAGCTAGATCCTTCTGCTGAGGTCACAGGGTCCAGTCTGAGCTAGATCCTTCTGCTGAGGTCACAGGGTCCAGTCTGAGCTAGATCCTTCTGCTGAGGTCACAGGGTCCAGTCTGAGCTAGATCCTTCTGCTGAGGTCACAGGGTCCAGTCTGAGCTAGATCCTTCTGCTGAGGTCACAGGGTCCAGTCTGAGCTAGATCCTTCTGCTGAGGTCACAGGGTCCAGTCTGAGCTAGATCCTTCTGCTGAGGTCACAGGGTCCAGTCTGAGCTAGATCCTTCTGCTGAGGTCACAGGGTCCAGTCTGAGCTAGATCCTTCTGCTGAGGTCACAGGGTCCAGTCTGAGCTAGATCCTTCTGCTGAGGTCACAGGGTCCAGTCTGAGCTAGATCCTTCTGCTGAGGTCACAGGGTCCAGTCTGAGCTAGATCCTTCTGCTGAGGTCACAGGGTCCAGTCTGAGCTAGATCCTTCTGCTGAGGTCACAGGGTCCAGTCTGAGCTAGATCCTTCTGCTGAGGTCACAGGGTCCAGTCTGAGCTAGATCCTTCTGCTGAGGTCACAGGGTCCAGTCTGAGCTAGATCCTTCTGCTGAGGTCACAGGGTCCAGTCTGAGCTAGATCCTTCTGCTGAGGTCACAGGGTCCAGTCTGAGCTAGATCCTTCTGCTGAGGTCACAGGGTCCAGTCTGAGCTAGATCCTTCTGCTGAGGTCACAGGGTCCAGTCTGAGCTAGATCCTTCTGCTGAGGTCACAGGGTCCAGTCTGAGCTAGATCCTTCTGCTGAGGTCACAGGGTCCAGTCTGAGCTAGATCCTTCTGCTGAGGTCACAGGTTCTTGGAGAACATTGTGACGTTTTTAAAATATTAGTTTATGATGTGTTCATGACCCGCTGAGGACGGACCTCAGAACGACCAAAGAATGATAAATATGAAACTTTCTGAAGAGTAAAATACGTC